TACTAAGCATGATATTTTGTTTTTGAAAACACATGTGCTCTTATTCCAGTTAATTGGCTAGAATTACTATGTGATGCGCACAGCATACAAGTATAGACTAGATTGCCTAATTTGGAACAAAACATTGCATGTTCGTTTGTGAAAATGATCTGAAGTTTGCTACTCGCAAGTAGGCTAAAATGCGAATTTTGATGAATTGTTCCAATTCAAATAATCCAACATTCACTCACAGGCATTCAGGCAGTTATATCAAATAAGCAGTTAGCCGCATGGCAAGCATGCTTTCATGGCAATCAGTAACACGCATACAGTATGCTAAAGCGTAAACACTCACAGTGTACTCCGAGCCAAAACAAAAAACTAGTTAGAAATCATGCATGATCCTAGCTCATGTTAAGATGGCTAATGCAACACATAAGAGAATGCAACTCAAATAGGCTCAGCTATCCTAAGAATGTCATGTGAAATGCAACAATTCGATACGTGTATTGAACTTGGAATTGAAATACAATGCAGTTAGCATGATGCGCTGAGCCCGGTGCATGCAAAACAGATGAATTGATGCACGCATGCAAAACATAAGGTATGCTAATCGAAATATGCCTTAAAACTAACCATCGTAAGCGGTTAAGTAAAAGGGAGAAAGAAATGGGGGTTGGAAGACATGCGTTACACACACGCACACTTATTACAACATTTCGCCCTCTCGACGGAGGGACCGAATAAAGAGCTAACTAGCTAATCTAAGCTAATTAAACTAATTATTACAGAGTAAAGCTAATTAACTAATCCTAGTTAACTAACTATTACAAAACAAATTGAAATAGCTAAACGCATTAACTATTAAAATACAAAACAAAGCATAAGCTAGCTATCTAAGCATGGTTGCTAAGGAAAGCAATAAAACAGGAGCTTCAGAGGGAGAAGAATGCATGCATGCTCGGTCGCCTCGTTCGAAAATCCGTCGCGATGCCCCAATTTGCCTCTGTTTGCAATTGTCCTCAGAACCTTGCACCAAGCTCCAGAAAGCTTAAACTCCACCATGGGAACCTAAAGGAGGGCTGCCGACCAGTTGTTAGCATTAGAGACCACCTGCCGACCACTTTTTGTGCTGAAAACAAGAAAAAGTTTTCGGCCAGCCAGGTTTACTGGTTGGCCGACCAGTTGTTGCTGCCAGTCTCCACTTTACTGCAACAGAGAGCAAGAAAGGGCATGGCAATGTATTTGCAAGATATGTGTGCACAACCATCCCTCCTATCATTACACGAGCTCAAGGGAGTGTGGTTCTCAACCCTCGAGCCACCAATCGCGCATTTTAATGCATGATGGCCGAGAGGCGAAGTTGCACCATTCAATATGAAATGAATGCACAAGTAAACACATAAATCCTAAAACTCTATCATGTATGATCAAGAGCATCGGAGACCGGGAATTAAGGCACGTTTCATCACTTTAAGTATGTAACGTCCCTCGTTTCTCGTGTTTGGGCTAACACCTACTCTAAACAAAATGCAACACAAGCATGCAACACGAACAACCTAACAAGGCTAATGGCATGCACAATGCACAATACTAATGTATGCATACTCAATGCAAGAAAACATAAGCATGCAACAATATGATACAATGCAACTAGCATACACAATGCAAATGTCCCGTAGCATACTCAATACAATATGATCATGGCATACACAATGCAAATCAAGAGCATGGCATGCGCAATGCAAACAATAACATAACATGCACGATGCAATGTAACATGGCATACACAATGCTCAATAGACTTAAACCAAAATGGATAGACCTCAGCCATGTCCAAAATAGAGGCCATGATAATGAAACAAAGGCACAAAAAGGCAAGGCATGCATGCACAATGCATTGCCCAACCAACTAGGCCTAAGAGCACAACTCTCAAGAGTGCTCGAGGAGTGATAAACATAGAAGTGTAACAACACTAAATGCACTGAAATTAAGTAAGAAATGATGTCAAATCATTCAAACAAAGTAAGTATAGCATGCAAAGGTCCTTAAAGCATGAAGCTACTAAAGAGGACTACAAAGGGAGCATGCAATACATGGCACATATGCATGAACCAACCATGGACAGAGCTGAAATAGGTCAAAATAATGACCAAAACATGCTAAGATGGAGGCTCAAAGGCCTAGGTAAGATGGCATACATGCTAGGCTTTAAGTAAGGCAACAATGCACAACACTTAAAGGCATTCAAAACATGAAAAAAGTGGGAATATAAGCATGTTATAAGCTCTGAAATGAAATATTAAATGATGCCAAATCATCCAAATAGCTCAAAGATAGCATGCATGAGCCAACAAAACACAAAGCTAGTAAGGCCAATTGCACTACAGCTATACAAAGCATGAAGGATATGGCAAAGGCAACCCAAAACAACCCTAGAACATGTCAAAATGATACTAAAACATGAATGGAAGGAAGCCAAACTAAGCTAGCATGAGGGGCATAAGACATGGTAAATGCAAGGCAAATAAAGTGGATTACACTACACTTATTAAGACCAAGCATGAAATAACTTAATCAACAAAAATCAGAGTTATGTCATGGCAAGATAACCCCAAAAACACATTGAAATCATGGCAACATTGAGTTTGATTTCAACAGATAAAACCCCCCATCTTCTCTCTCTCTCTCTCTCTCTATATATATATATATATATATCTACGTGTATATCTGAGTTGTTCTTGTTGTTGAAGAAAGTCCAAGAGAAGGGTAATGAAGTAGCTAGGGTTAGTCTTGGTGGTACTAAAAAAGACAATTGCTTTGGTGTTGATGAAGATGATTGTTTTACCACTATTGATGAATATGATGAAGAAAACACATATCCATATCCAGTTATTGAATTTGTTGATTTCACCTCCTCCTCCCCCTCTTTCTCTCCTCGTATATATTATCTATTTTGGACAGATAATATTGTTTTTGATCTATTGTGTTTTGGACAGATAATATTGTTTTTGATTTGTTGTGTTTGATCTAAAATTGAACAGATAATATTGTGTTTGATCTAAAATTGAATAGATTAGTTTGATCTATAGCTCTATATCTAATCAAAAATTGAATAGATAATGTTGTGTTTGATCTTAAATTGAACAGATAATTTTGATCTATAGAGAGACAAAAAAAAATCCACAAATTTTAAACAGAGAGATAAATCTAGACATTTTTTAAATAGATCGAGAGAGAAACTCACAGATTTTAAATTGATAGAGAGAAAAACCTAAAATTTTGAATAGATGGGGGAAAAAATTGAACATAAAGGGAAAAAAATTCAACAGATAGATATAAATTTGAATAGATAGACAAAAAATTTGAACAGATAGATATAAATTTGAACATATAGTCAAAAAAGTTAACAGATAAAAAAAAATCAACAAATAAATTAATCGGTAAAATTGAAAGCAAACCATCCTTCCAAAATAACGAAAGAACTTTTTACCAAACTATTTCATAAATAATGGACCTGTCATTAATAAAAAAAAATATTTACTAGACTTAATATCTTATATCCTCTTTAGATTAAATTTATCACCAATTTACTCTTAGAAAAAATAACATTGGCTTTCTTAGAGCATCCCCGCTAGTTTACCTAAATTTTATCCTAAAATATTATTAAAAAATTCATTTTCTATTTTAAGAATCACTTTTCCATTTACTTTTCCCAACAGACTATCTATTCTTTGGAAAATTTACCAATAAATCCTATTTCACAAACTCTTAAACCAATTAGTCCCAACTTTATTCTTTTGTTCGGGTAAGTCCTATCAGTGGGGAAGTTTGTTACTTGTTGATCCTATTTTCCATATTTGGTGCAACTGTGTGGACAGTTTTACCCATTATTGTTATGTTTCCATATTCTGTTGGGGATCACGTGGGTCTGCAGATTTTGTGGGTATAACAGTTGATATTTCAATGTTACCTGTTGAGACGTTTCAGCCTATGTGACTTTAGGGTTGTTAGTGGTGTGGGTCAGTGATTTACGGTGGCTGTGTGACGGACTGATTGAGAAAGTTTAACGGAAGTCGGTTCTCCGTTGGTTGAAAGGTATGTCTTCTTATTTGTATAGCATTTGCAGTTTTGTATGTTTTGGTGTTTTTGACTGAACGACAACAGGTGAGGGTGGGGGGTTATGTGGTGCATTTTTTGGGGTGATTTTTGGTAATTTTTCCGTGATTTTTTGTGTTAGGCTGGTATGCTCTGTTTTTTGAATTGCTTCCGTTGTGGGTGTGTGCCGCATTACATGTTGGTGTAAGGAGGGTTCTGTTCATCCGGTGGGTGAGGGGGTTGTGTGCTGTATTTTTGGGGGTTAGTTTATGTGTTACAGACGTATGTGTTGTTGTTCGATTTTTCTATTGTGTGGGTGTGTATTGTTTTTGGTTTTATAGTGTTTTGTGGGTTTTCTGGTGTGGGTGCATATTTTCTGGTGTGGGTGTGTATTGTTTAGGGTTTTTCTGGTCCTGATGAAGCACGTGGTAATCTTGTTAGGGGGATGGACACACAGGTTATGTTAATTTGTTGTTATGGAAATGTTAATGCCGCAATTAATTTGCAAGCTCCATTTCGGTTTGATGACATGGTTAATTGTGTGTGCGAAAAGTTTCCTGGGTTAACACCGGCCCAAGTGTGTTTGTTCTTTAAGATACCAGGTTATAACAATTTCATATTACATAATGATGTCGATGTGGAAAACATGGTATTTCTTGCACGGTCTTTCCATCTGCAATGCATCGATGTCATCATTCAATTACAAGACTCACGCGACGCTGACAATGCTGGCAGCCCGGTTCATAATCTGCAGACTGTCCCGTGTCACACAGCAGGGGTGTGTGATGATTCGGACATGGATGACGAACAAGATTTATTGGAAAATTTCTGCCCTCACATTGATAAGGTTTTTTTGTCTGCTCCATGGGCTAATGGGATTCAACATGTTGGTCAAAGTTTTTAAGGTGGGGCATCTGAATTTCGAAATGTTCTTCGCAAGTATGCGGTTGAGTGTGGCTTTCTGTTCAAATTTGTGAAGAACGATTCTGTTCGAATCACAGCTGTATGTACGATGAGAGAATCGAGAGGATGCATGTGGTTGGTACATGCACGTGTATTGAATGCCAATGGATTTTTCTACCTTCGTAAGTGGAACAGCGAGCACACTTGTGGTGTTGCTGTACGGACCCCCAAAAACCCTAGGGCTGGTTCCGATCTGGTGTCCGATGTTATTTGTGAACGGGTACGTGATAAACCACTCACAAGGCCTACTGATGTTGTGTATGACTTGAAAAAAGATTACGGATTGGAGGTTAGTTACCGAGTTGCATGGTTAGGTGTAGAAAAAGCTCGTGGTGAAATGTTCGGTGCACACTCCATTTCATTTGACCAACTACGATGGTATAGTAGCGTAGTAATGGAAAATAATCCTGGGAGTTACATCAACATTGAATATGATGAACAAAATTACCGTTTTATACGGTATTTCATATCATTCAAAGCATGCATCGACGGGTTCAACCATTGCCGCCCATTGCTTTTCTTGGACGGGACTTTTCTAAAAGGAAAATTCAAGGGGAACTTGCTAGCTGCAACTGCGAAGGATGGCAACCAAGGTATTACTATGTGGTAATTATTTATATATTATATTCATGTGTGGCAAATGTACTGACATTGTTGCTAGGAAGGACACTTTTTGTTCCACATTGGGGAGACCGTCATAACAATTGTTCATAAGTTATGCTGCACAGATTGGTTATTTGACAAACAAATTAAAAATGCAGGTTTATTCCCTGTGGCCATTGCGATTGTTGATTATGAAAACACCACAAATTGGGCTTGGTTTTTGGAACACCTCGCAAACGTCGTAAACCGGCAAAGAACACTTACATTTGTCTCTGACCGACATGCGGGAGCCAGTATATCCTTTTCCGGAATCTTCCCACAGGACATTCCTACAGTTCATATTTCATGTGTCATTGCCTATTTTTTTGACTAACACATTTCATCCTTCTTCAAAAGCAGAGGTTCACGGTACGGTGAGATGAGTTCCAACGCCATTGAATCATTTAACTCATGGATACGGGAAGCACGCCACCTACCAATAACTCAAATGATTGATAGTATCCGGGGAAAAATTATGCGCCAGATGGCAAAACGGAGACGTAAGGCAAATGCGTGGGCAGGTGCTATTTGTCCCAAAATGGAATCTCGGTTGGTCAAAGCATACAACAAAGGTAGATCGTGGCTCGTAAGCCAATCAAACGATGACGTGTACGAGGTTCACTCTTTTCCATCCGTCATGGTCGATGTTGGCAAACGTACATGTTCTTGTTTCAAGTGGCAAATCAACGACTTTCCATGTGCTCATGCAGTCGTGGCAATCCGAAACAGTGGTCTAGACCTGTACCAGTTAGTTATTCCCTACTATCATGTGGCTGAGTACCAGAATTCATATGCACAAAACATAACCCCCATTCCAACTGTAGAGAAACCACAATTTGACTCTGCAAATTTTGTCATACATCCCTCCGCTGTTAAACGCCCACCGGGAAGGCCCAAGAAGAAACGCATGCTTTCCAAAGGGGAACAAGTCCAACAAATTCGGTGTGGACGTTGTCAACGCATGGGTAACCACAACAGGAAAACGTGCAAGGAACCAATTTAGCTTCTACACATAATTCGCTGATTCGCATTTTTGACAATAAACTTTCACAGTTTTCTTATTAAATAAGTGGTTGTTCCACAATTCCATATGACGTCATTCAAAGTGAAGATTTAATGAACAATTTTATTTTTGATGCGTTATTCTGTTTACCTCGTCACTGTATTTTTTACATCTGCTTCGTATTGTAGTGTTATTAATTTCAGGACATACGCCATAATTCAATGTGTAGTTGCAAGATTTTATCATGATGTGACCACATCCGCAAACATTACACACAGATAATAAATAAACCACAGAATTCCCTGCTAACAACCATGTTTGGACCATTTTCAATTTTGTCCGCATAACCATCATGCGGCCTATAGTCGTGTCGTTTTCCATCTTTTCCATGACTATAATTTTCGCATATATACCATGCCTATACATCAATATCTTTCAATTTTCGAGACCCAACTTCTATTACTACGTGCACATCAACGGCACACAATCTCTGCCCACAACTTAGTCCCACAACTTTTAAATACAATCACAAAACCTTACCTACAAACGGATGAAGCAACAGACCAAACAAACAACCAAAATCATACTGCAAATCATACAATACTTTCCATTCAAAATGCGTAAAATGTTATCCACAACGACTAGTACGTAATACCCACAAAAAATATGTCCAACATTTTGTAAACCAGAATTTTCAAACAACAAGTTCAAACCAACAAACATGTTTCAAAAAACCAAACAAATTGCATAAACCAAATACAAAAACCAGAAAATGCTGCGTCCGATTTATTTCTCGTCACCGTTTCAGACCAAACACATCTAATCCTTCAGCCCCCGGGTCGGATCGTTGATGAAATACTTAACCATGTTTGCTCGCAACACACTGCAATTACTACCTTGCAATGTTCGCTCCACGTCGCCACGATACACATACTGTCGCATTATCCCACACACTATCACCCCACAATCAAGCCTGCACATGAAATAAGCACATGTAATCAGTGCCACTCATAACAGCATTGTCATCATTACAGTACCCTTACATTTACAACAACACTGTTACTTACGTGTCTGGTTTTTGCTGTGGACACTTAGTTACAGCCTCTAATGGATGCCTGAAATTTGCCTCAATGCTCTGCTCATCCAGTCCGAACTGACGTAACGATTGCTTCATAACATCTGACACACGTTCTTTCTGTAATTCAATAAAATTAAAAAATTAAACCACCACAAAAACAAATCACCAACCATCGTCTACACAACTACAACCAATTTACAGAACAAACATACTGGTAACACTTATTTACCAGCAGAACAGCTTCGGTGTGGTGCACATCAGTCCTATCCCCACGTTGCCTCATCGGGTTATAATGCTTCCAACTACCATATTCAGTATCATACACTACAAGCGTCCAGTGCCCAAGATGACACATTGGAAAATGCATGAAACGAAACTCGCTCCCTGCAGACACATTCTTCCGGATATAATTTCCTATTGAACGCACGTCATTACTTTTCACCACGTCCTGCAAATACATCATTGTCATCCAACATTACTACACCACCTCAACACCAACAACAAAAAACAAATAAATAAATAGACCACAAACTCACCAGGCACACACTATTGAAAAAATATGACTTGTCCACCAACTCATTGTCACCATACATCCTCAACTGGTCGGTCTTCAACAACTCCACGTACGCATCAACGACCTACCAACCACCATAACCAATTTTCAGAATAATGCTGTACTAACTACATAATTGTCATGATGCCACCGTTTAAAACGAAATTAACCACAAATATATGAATAGGGAATACAACATTAAAACCCCTATATGTAAAAACTCACATTCCCACGCATGGAGCTCTGTCGTACAAGGCTTTTCACATCACTGAAATAAACCACAACGCCATTCATATTGTCTTCCCACATGACCGCCCTGTACATAGTACTAACGTAAATTATACAAATTTACAATTGAATGCAAACAACACAAATAACACTCAAAATAAATACGTACCAATCACCATGCCGCTCATATGCTTTGGTGATTCTGGCCTTCTCATCCATTGTCATCATCTTCCAAACCCCCAACCGGTTATTCAAATCAAACCCAGACCATTTTTTCTCAGGTAACACCACAGCTTCGACATCAATAATTGCATTATGCACGTCATGTTTGCTGTCATCCACTGCGTCACAATTGTTCCCGACTGTCTTCTTAGTACGCCCAACCAACAGTGGGTAATCAAACTCAGGCATTTTTCGCTCCCTTCTAACTTTGTTCTTGATTTTACGCACATATGAATTTACATAACCCAATCTTGCAACACATTCAACATCACTAGTCAAGCCTTCACCTTCAGCAGCATAACTACTGCTACCATAATGACCACGCAGCATCCCTGGTCTGCACTCCGCCACATTGTTCAACCCCCCCTCGTCACCACTGCGTCCATGCTATGGTAATATACGCAAAGGTAACCACACCACTACTCCCAATATCCACGCCTTCTCGGAACCGTTGCGTTACGTCATGCACATCACGGTCCTCCAATTGGTCCTCAAGCAGTAACACTCTCTTCCGCAATTCGTCATTTTCATTTTTCAACTTACTCAACTCATCGTTTTTCATCTTCACCACACACTCAAATCCCCCTACTATGTTAACAGCTTGCAACTCCATCTTCCTCTTCAAACCAACAACTTCTTCTTCAAGCGACGACACCATTTTGTCTTTCTTTTTGTTTTGCATTTCAAGCTCTGCGACTGCAATTAGCGCCTCTTCTAATTTGTGGCTACTATCCCTTTCAATACCGGAATTGCGATCCACATGCTCTGTGAACCGTTTCACATCAAGTTTGCGGCCCTGCACCACCTGGTCATCACTTTCATTCTTTCTCGTCCCCTCTGCCATGAAATGCTCGTCCACACCGTCACAATCCTCACCTCCGCCATTGATATCTGCGAAACCATCTTCCTCCGCCTCAATGTCTGTGCCCATAACTTCACGTTCATAATCAAAAGACCTCAAACGGTCAACTTTAACCTGCAAATAATTAAAACACATCATAATAAATAGTTACATCTTATTCACACTAGTAGAAACTTTAGTAATAAAGTGCATAACTAAACGCAACAAGTTACCTGAAAACCAATTGGACCAGCCAAATCCACCCCTTGAATTTTATTCATTAATGCCCCAATGTCCCATTTCAGGAACCTCGGAAACATGTTGTCGGTTTGAGGCTCCACTATGTTCGAATGTTCACAAAACCAATACTACATGAACAACAAAACAGAAACCAACAAATCAGGCATTTATTGATTAAAAAAATGAAAACAAAAAAATTGCATACATTCAATAACTAACTACTGTCCAAATGTACACATACCAGCAACGCAACCACGCAGCCTGTCACCTTCCCTGGGGTACGATGAAACTCCTTGATTGACGCCATCACTGTTGTCAGTATAGCTCCAGTCCAATCATACATCCTAACGGTGCTCAGGTCGTTCATGTAGCGCACAAAAGCCCAACTGATTGTCTCCCCAGAGTTAGAGAAAAAAAGCTTCCCACACATGTACAGCCCCAACAACTTCGCTGTGTCTTCTTCATCTTGTTTCTTTTTGCCATTCAAAGCCTCTAAAAATAATGTTTTAACCAACTTCGACGTCAGCCGCGCAGCGTCACGACACCTACGTTGAATGAAGTCCGACACTGGCCGCTGTCCGGGTGACAAATCTAAACGCCGTTTCCCGCACTGCAAACCAAATATTAACCTGATGTCGCTGCTCCCGAATTTGACACTGACACCTCCAATGTTGAATGCATTATCTCGCTGATTGTATGATCTTATAATCTTGGCTATAAGATCATCACACTTCCTAAACTCGTTATGGTTCAAATTGTTCATGTGTATCGCCTCAATCATAATCCAAAATGGTGTTTTCCGTAACTGTTTCAAGTGTGCGTCCCTCAAATTTGCCTCACGCACAAGTTTAACTATCCCAGCAACATTCGAACGAAAGTTCATCCGCGTTTGTGTCTGCTGCGGGGGGGGTGCTACTATATCCTCAGCCACTTTTCGTCCAACCGCATTGCTCACCCTTTTCGCCTGCTTGAACAAAATGCGCCCCTGCATTTTCACACCCAGGTTGTTCCCCTTTGAACCATTACCATCATCAGCCTTTCTCCGTTCACATGAACGTGTCCACGGACTACTTCCCCTTCTGCACTCTGCCAACAAAAAACAATAGTTAACACAGTCAGAAAACCAGATTCGCCTCACAAACATAACACCCACCCCTTATCGTTCATGTCATGCACCAAAAACACTAAAACACACACCCTTTACGCCATACATAAGTTACACACAACCAACGTTACTAGCATCAACAAAAAATTCCCACAGTTAACACAGATGAACAACCTGATATGCCTGGCAAACCTAACACCAACCCCTAATCATTCATGTCATTCACCAAAAAACTAAAACACACACCCTTTACACCGTACATACGTTACACACAAACAACATAACTAGCATTACTACTGTCAACAACACCATTTCAACTCTACGCCACACCCATATTATAGACCACAAACATGCGGGACACGCATTTCACACCAACATACCACTCGTCTCACAAAGAAAAGCAACACGACAGTCATTCACATCATCACCTCACAGGTACTCCACAATTAGATTCACAAATCCCAGCAACAGGAATCAGAACAAAAAATAAAATCAAAAAACCATTACACATCCCACATCCCACATCCCCACACCCCACATATGTACATCACAGTCACACACACAACCCTAAAACAAAAAACCCTAAACCACGTCAGAAAGTAACACACACCCCAAAAAAAATTCAAAACCCCGCACATCCCAGCCCCACCACACACCATTTTCTTCCACTTGTGTGGTCCCAACGAAGTTTTACTTCCCCACATGGCAACTACTTGTCAGCACTTACACCGACAGAGGCCACACACAAGAACCCCACACAAACCCTACACCCACAACCAAGTACAACCTTCCCCACAACATCACCAACACCAACCCACCCTAACACACAAAAATAGCATCACAACACACATAACAAATCAACGACACAGACAACCCCAAAATAAAGAACGCAAACAAAAAAAAACAAAAATGCAATCGGGTAATCAAACCGAATAATCAAACACTCACAATCCACATTGTCACACAAAAATTACAGCAAAAAGATATGGCACATACCATTTTCGGCCATAACTATACGGCCACAACCAAGGACTGCGAAATATGAACACTAGGGTTTCGTCGTCGTCCACGATCTGCCCTGTCACAAATACAGTGGCCCAACTAATCACAGCAACAAACGGAAATTGCCCACTCAATCTTTATAATTTCCCCCCAAATCACGCGAACGGTATATATGGTCAATCCCAATTTCGAAATCCAAGCAAATCGCAAAAACGAGGGTTTCCTATGTTACGTTTCCACTTCACTGTGTGTGGGGATGTGAATGCTGAAATCGGGTTGAGTTTTTAATGGGTATGGGTTTTCAATATGTGGAATACGTGGCAACCAAAACCCACAAGCGTTCTCTACAAAAACCCTTAGTAAACTTTTCGCGTGCGTAACAGCCAAATGTGTGACACGTGACAAATCTCATGCCATTTTACCTGATCTGTGACACACGCGCAAGCCATGTATCACATGAAAAATCCACACATACTAATGGCAATTGCGTCCTTTCACAACAAACAGGACTAAATGGAGCATGAAAAAACATTTGGGACTAATTGGATAATAATATCAACATGTAGGATTTATTGGTAAATCTCCCTAATTTTTAATTATTAGATTTATTTCTCAAATAATTGCCTTTATTGATGTGGGCAAATTTTGGCGCAAAATTTAATGGCTTAAGATTTGACACATTATTGAATGATTTTTACTTTAATTTTTTGTTAAGGGTATAATTAAAAATAATTTGGCTCAAAGATTTGGCACAGTATTAAAGACGCCCTGTGGCTTGTCAAGATTTGACTTTAGGCCATTGTAGTAACGCACCATTGGAGATGTTTCGATAACAAATAACTAGTTATTATCATACCAATAAACAAATTTGTTCATAAACAATAAACAAAGAGTGTCAAAAATTGCAACCCAGGGGCAGGTGGCTTTGTGGTAAGAACATGAGGATTAAGTCCCCAGGTTATGAGTTCAAATTCTCGCTGAGCCAATTTTCTGGGAGTAGCACAGTTGGTTAGGAGGTTGGACCTCAAGTTGTCTAACCAGCACTTAGTGTGGGTTCAATACTCCCCCGCTGTGCGAGTCTTGACTTAAGCGAAACTTGTCTTGGGAGGTCGGAGCTTGTCTTGGGAGGTCGGGACAAGTTCCCAGGTTATAGTTGGTTAGGAGGTTGGACCTCAAGTTGTCTAACCAGTAATGCTCCCCCGCTGTGCGAGTCTTGACTTAAACGGAGCTTGTCTTGGGAAGTCGGGACAAGTTCCCAGGTTATAGTTGGTTAGGAGGTTGGACCTCAAGTTGTCTAACCAGCACTTGGTGTGGGTTCAATGCTCTCCCGCTGTGTGAGTCTTGACTTAAGCGGTGCTTGTCTTGGGAGGTCGGGACAAGTTCCCAAGTTATAGTCTCCTCGCTCGGAACGGCTAACAAGACACCTTAGTGATCTCTACAAAGGGGCGCTGCCTTAGACCTGTGAGAGAGTAGGGAGGATTTCCCCGTAACCCAAAAAAAAAAAAGTGTCAAAAAAATTATATTTTAACAATATTATTTCAATTATGCAAATTTTTGTTTATTTTGTTTTTCTTGCCACAAGTGAGTCTGAGAGATGTTAAAACAAAAAGGCTATCGATTTTTTGTCATAGTCAGATCTTATGTCAAATTTGGCTTTAAAAAAAATTAACTACATTAAAATATGACACAAGGTTTAACTAATTATTGAAAAGTTCAAAATTGCGCTTTTCGATTTTTTGAAGCGATGACAACCCTTTTATCATAGGAGAAGCTCTTACTACTAGTAATTGATCATGTTTAGGGTTGCAAACGAATCGAATTGTTTGCGAACTTGACTCAGTTCGTTAAGTAAATAAATGAGTTCGAACTTGACTTTTAAGCTCGTTTAATAAAGGAGCCGAACTCGAACTCGAATAAATTCGGCCTATCAAGTTCGACTCGTTTATCTTTATTTAAATTATAAAATAAATATATTATTTATATATTAACTAAAAGCGTAAAATATTATTTATATTTTAAATATATAAATATTTAAATATAAATAATTTTATTTAATTTTTTATTAAATAATGTAATTTTTCACAATAAAAAAAATTAATTATCGAGTTTCGAGAGCTCAAGCTCGGCTAATATTAACGAACCAAGTCAAACTCAGATTGAGTAATCGAGCACAATAAACAAATGAGCCGAGAACTCAATTTATTTGCAGTCTTAATCATGTCATGTGTGAGATAAGAGGAAAAATTAAAATATTATTCTATAAATTTTATTAATCGTTAATGTGCATGTCAACATGCACATACATATAAAATTCTTTTGAAACTAGTTGTGATGTTTACAATTGTGAAGAAGAATTTTCGTCCCTTTGTATTATAAAAATGTAACTTAAATATATATATATATATATATATATATGTATGTATATATAATAATTTTATATGATATTAAATTATAATAAATTAAAAGAAGCATAGATTGATAGTAGAAATAATTATTAAATTGGAGGAGTAGTAATCTAAATTATTGAGTCATTTTAAATATTTAATTTACTTTATTTTATTTATAGAAATTGAAGCAATATTAAAAATTATTTAAAAAATTAAATAAAAAGTATGTTACGATATATGTATAATTCAAGAAAAATATCATTCTTATTCTATTATAAAATTTGTAACTTAAATAAATATGTATATGATAATTTTATATAGAATTAAATTGTAACTAGTAAACAGATGATTTGTTTTTTTTATGTAATTTATAATTAATAAACATTAACATTCACATAAAAAAATAAAAAATAAACATATAAAGAGAATGAATGAGGGGGTAGGGGGCTATGGAGTAGAAACTTATTAGTATAATTAAGGGTTAAGTGGTGAAAAATTTACGTCAATGAGGCCATATATATATATTTTTTTTTACTATCAAAACTTAGTGATAATGACACACATTGAAAATTGGCCAATGGCTGGCGTCTGGTGGCGCTAAGATGAACAGATATGTGACATTGAATAGATTAGTGAATAAATATGTGACACGTGTACACATAAGTGACATTTAAATAAATTGTTGGACAAATATATAACATATGTACAAATATGTGGTATTTAAACAGATAGACAAGTGAGTAAGTTTTGGATAGATAGTTGTCATTTCGAATAGATCAATGACCTTTTGGCCAAAAAAAGATTTAAGCTAATAACTTGAAAATTTTGTTACAAAAGAGTTACTAATTATAAACTTTAGCGATAGTTTAAAAAAATTGTCACTAATTTTCAATTTTCAGTGATAGTTTGAAAAATTCGTCACAAAAAAGTCACTAATTGTAAGTTTTAGCGACAATTTATAAAAGTGTGATAAAAAAAGTCACTAATTGTTAGTTTTTAGAGACATTCAAAAAATCGTTACAAAAATTTATTTACAGCAATGATTTTACTAGGACTACTTTTCTATAGGACTTAATAAGAATTAAATCTAATTATGAGGACCTATTGGTAATTTACCCTAAATTTATTTTATTTATGAGAAAATCATAAGAAAAAATAAATAAACCTCCAGATTTGACCTTTGTGGTAAAATAAATTCTAAATTTTTTATTTTATTAATTTAAATCATAATCTTTTAATTTTTTTAATCTAAATCATTCGCATATTTTCATCAAGTAAAATCAATGAAAAAATTGTATTTTAACCATTAAATTTAATATAAGTGTATATAAAATGTCTAAAATGTATTTTTTTTGTTGAGTTTAATTACTAAAATATCCTTTTTCATCTATTTTAGTTAACGAAAACAAAAAAATAGCTTAGATTAAAAACAAATTCAAAATTAAAGTTTAAATTGATAAATTAAAAATTAAAAGTTTATTTTGTTATTAGAGTCAAGATTTTTTTTTTTTGGTTGTAATTTCCTTTTATTTTTTTAGATGTTTAAAGTGCTTGAGGCTAGTTTGCAAAATAGAGCAAGCCTTCATCAAAATCATAGAAAGAAAAGAAGAAGCAACATCTTTCATCCAAATCCTTGGATAAACATGACACACGGCCTTTTTAGCTAAACAATGAGCAACATTATTCTGCTTTCTGAAAACATGGAAAAATTATTAGATGATCTAAGCACATTACATGGGTCTAGTCTCTATCAATCACCAATACTTCCGTTTTGTTTTCAGAGATAGAATAGAGATGATTGATAGTAAGGGAATTAATAGTGAGAAATTATTAAATTATTTTTATATAAAATAATAAAACAAATAAAAAAATATAAAAATTAAACATTAATATTTTAAAAAAAATTCCCAATATATAAAAAATAAAAAAATAAAAAAATTTATAATCCCCTCACTATTTTTTTAATACCATCTCTACCTCCTCACTATGAATCTCCCTTCCAAAGGTATTAGTAATACCAAGGTATTAGTAGTCTCAAGGAAATCTCTCAAAACAAACAAGGTATTAGTAATACCAAAGTATTAGTAGTCTCAATCCCCTTTCTATAACTCCAAATAAACGGGACTTAAAATACTACTTAACCGTGCCCTAGGACTAGGTAGATAAGGGCAACCAAGGTGGTGTCGACAACGAGGTTACACCTACTTGTGTGCAATGACTTAAAATTAGGGTTGAATATGGTTAAAAGGTTCAAAATGAGGGGATTAAGTGGCGTGAATTAAGAAAAAATAATAAATGTGTGTGAACCTAATAATACTGTGAATTGAAAGAATGTAAAGTATGCAATTTGATGCTCACAAGCATGTCATCATTATTGTTCCAAAAGTCTAAAAGTAAAAGTTGATTATAGGTTCATGAAAGCTGGACCTTTCTATTTTACCAAATAAGTAAAACCCTGGAATCCAAACTCTCTTCATTAGGGGAAATTCTATAATACAACTCAATTTCAGGAGTCTAGATCTTTCGAAGTATTTTCTTGCTGTGCATTTTGTAGTGCACCAACAAAATGAGATCGTTTTGGTGCACAAAACCCTCCCCTCCTCAAAAAAAAAAGAAAAAG